ACATATCTAATAGGGAATTTTTATTGCTTTTCATTGTGCCCTATTTTATTTTATGCCTTGTGTTGTGTCTCAGTCATGGCTGTTTTAACAGAAATATGTGTTGATTGGACATGAATCTCAAAGAAGAATATTTTCAGTGACAAATACTCAGCTCAAGTTGAGTGTACTTTATTAAGCATAAAAGTATGCCTAAAAACCAGTAAACTTTTCAAAGAGATGCATATGTTACTCCCCGAGTAATTTTCCAGAACAGTAATCATTCATCTCGCGATTTCAGTTACTGGATCCCAGAAAAGGCTTAATAATCTTTCTTACAGTTTTTCTTAAACTGTATTATCTGCAAATATATTTATTTTAAAACTTTAATAACAGAGCAACCAATTTCCAACTACCTAGAACCATGCAAGTTACCTGTGATCAATCATTATGAGTTTATTTTAAATTATCCATTTTCCTCAGTTGCCATTCTGCACAACCCTTAAGCCAGAAGTAGGAAGACAAAGGTGGTGTCAGTGCAAAAAAAAAATTAATTGCGGCCTTGTTTACCACCTGGTACCTTCAAGCCAGCTAACGAAAGGACATGCGCAACTGTAATGAAATGCTATTGAGATGAGATGCTCAGGCTTCAAGGGCAAGAAGCATATAAACAAAGCCTGAAGAGTCTTTTCCCTTTAATACTCACAAGGATTCAGTGTCCACATTCCAGAAGACACTGTTCCTCTGCCATAAAATTAAGACAAAACTTTGGACAGGAGAGCTGCTGGAAATTATCAGGACCTGGAGGCAGCAGCAAAACCAAGGAATTGTTTCAACTGGGGGGGGGGGGTGGGTCTCCTTATCTAGTAGTTCCTTTCCTATTTGACATGTTTCTCATCAGTATTTCATTTTGAGAGCAACAGTTTTCTGCAGTCATGAAGGCAGCTAGCTGATGCAAAACAAGTTCAAACATTTGATTCAAAGGTATCATAATTAATGATTTATCACGCTTCTGAGTCTTAGAATCACACAATTAGGTTGTCTCTCTGAACTGAAATATGGTAAACACAGCCAGCAGGGCTAAGCTACAGCTTTTCAAAGCCAAATACATTAAAGACATACATGATCTTCAGCAAGTCAAGGAGAGCTTACATCATCCTCTATCAATGAACCGTGATGAACCGATTGATTACATGGCTGGCATCTCACACTGGCCAGAGGCAAAGCCCATTTGCCTAGCTATCGCCATCTCATGGGAACCAAATGGCTTTTTAAAAGTCCTATGAAAACTGCTAACCATGAATGTTGTGGTACGGCTGACCAGAAAGCATCCCTGCTGCTGTCGAGCAGAGTAAGAACTGTTCCTGGTACCTCCCCTTCTCCTCACTTCTCTAAAGTTACTCTAAAATTGTTGCTTTGTGTTTCTGTACTTATTTTCTTGGCTGGGACAACAAGGAAATGTCATATTTGATGAATTCGCAAAGTTTTAATGATTACGTATGAGTAAGTGCCTGCGTATTGGGAATGCACAGCTACAGTCAAGGCTCAGGCCATCACTGCCAACTCCTCTGGGGGTTAGCGCTCATGCTGGTGCCCTGCCCTCCCACCTTGCACACAAGCTGTGCAGGCACTGACAAAAGGCCTCACCTTTGATTCTGGGCATTTTTTACTTTGGGTGTACAGATTTTTCACTGGATTTCAGTTTCCTATGGGTTTAATTACTTTTTCTACTTCCTGTTTGCATGTTTTGTCTTTTTTTTATTTTTAAGAATGGAAAAGTTTTGAGGGCAAGAAAGGAAAAATGCTTTTGAAACTCTGAATTCTCTCAGTCCTAGTAATTCCCCGTCTTCCCTTACAAATGCCTCAGGATGTTTGTAGTAGTAGTGGAAATGAGCTCAAAGACCTTATCTTTCAACTACAAAAGACCAAACGTCATTCTTAAATCTCCAGCTGCAGACTGCACATGCTGACACTCTCTGTTGTGCCCAACAGTCTGAATAAACCTTGGGTTTAGGTATTATCCCTCCAAATCAGAGTTTCAAAATTCTACCTCACCACAACTGCTGGTCCCATGTACTGGTATAAACAGATAGTTGGTATACACAGTTTCAATACCCATCCCGCTGCAGTGACATGCATTTGTTAGCCCACAGGCTCTCATCTATTTTTTGGGCACAAGATCCTTTCTGTCTTTCATGATTCAAGTAGCCAACTACTTTTTTGCTCCCGAGAGTGTGTAAATCCAGCAAAGCTGAACAATGGGAGGCTTGGACTGAGAAAGGAAATTGAAAACCAGGATTAGATTTCAGCTGAATTAAGTGGCTGTGTTGTGACAGTGGTTTCTCAAAATACTTCATAAATTTCTCTCTCCCATCTGCATCAATGCTTATTGCTAACATATTTTGACATGCTAGTTGCTTTCTACTTCTTTGAAAAAGAAATGGGAAAACCTCCAAAGAGTCCAAATTTCAGTCTGACTTTCTCCCTCCTCCAAATTTTTCAGAGGAAGATTGCCAGACAGCAGGAGAAATTTGAGGGACTCCATACTGCTCAGCTCAGCACATTTTTATGCAAAGACTAGGCACAGGCGTATTTCTTAGGGCACCTTTTGCTAATGCAAAAGGAATGGCATTATAATGAATTTGCCCCATTTTTCAAAGGTCTTGTTCTGGAATGTAGGCCAAATTGAGGACTTGGCAAATGGATGTGTTTGACTGCTTGGTTATTCCCCAACTCCGTTCCCCTGCTTCCAGCTTGGGTCTTGTAAACACAAAACTTCAAGAGAGTGTAAAATTACAGATGGGTCCAGCAGCGGTTTCTCTGCTCAGATGTTTTTTTCACTTTCCTTAAGTTTGCCTTATACTTGAGCAGAAAACATGGCTCAGTCCAAATGCTTCATTTCTTTCTGGCCAAGTTATTATTTGGTTAAGACAATCAATTACTCTTCCATTCAGTTGTTAACAGTTCAAGGTTAATTGTCCCTGGTCTGTTCTGGCCTTATCCCTGCCCTGCCCTGAACCTGACAGTATCAATTCCAAACCAAAAAATATGCAACATTTGCCATTAGGAAAGCACGTGTGTATCAGACAGAAACATATCCACTACAGCATTAGATCAGAGTCTATCCTTAGCATATGTGTCCAAGGACTGGCAAGGATGATCCAGCCCAGCTCTCAGAGGCACACGTGCCAGTGGCATTTCTGGGCACACACCTGTGTGCTCAACCACGCACTGCAGAAGCTGAGACCATGATCCAGAGTGGACGACCATCCTGCACATAAAATTGGGGGACCCTCACAGCCTCAGGCATTGCGATAATCAAGGTCACACTAAACAGATACGGGTTCCTTTGCCTTCAGAAATGTTCCCTCCTTTTTCAAAGGTTATTGACAGGCTTCCACTAGAAAAGTGTAAGAAAATATTCCCATCTTCCTTTGCATTAAACAAATAGGGTGCAGAACTGAGATCAGTGGGTGTTGCATTAAGACAAATTAAGCAGCAATTCTAGTATCCAAGCTTCATTTTCCCACAAATGTACAGCTCCCAGAAGTACTCATTTTACCCCGAAAGACCCGAAAGCATTGAAAAATGTATCGTTTTCCAAACGAGGTTCCTGATGGAACCTCCCCGCGCAGGGTACGAGGGGCCTCTTGTGGTGGCCGAGCGGCTGGCCCGGTGCTCCGCGTGGCCAGCAGGCTCCAACAAGTGCCAGCGGCAGATACAAATGTATATGCAAATTTATCTCTCTCATTAGAGGAACCTCACTCGTTTAATACATGAGGTGTTAGTGTATAACCCACTATTGCAACCTAGTTTATCATCCCTGGTCTCTGGCTATGAACACAAGGCATCTAAAAATAAAACAGTGCACTCTCAGTAATGTTTTATTAAATGCTGTCAAATCTAATGCAGCCTGACTAACCACGGTGTCACAAAAATAATAGCTGCTGGAAATAGCTCACCTAGCTTCGGTTTGAACCTGGTTCAATGGAGGAAAGAGTCAAATTGTCCCTGTAAATCCAAAACCAGAGTTCTTAGCACAGAAAAGCTCTGTTGGATCTGCGAGCCTGCCTTGTGCTTTACATTAGGTGGCATTGCTCCAACTTTGCAACTGAAGGCAGAGTTAAACTAACGAACATCTCTTCCTTGCACAGGGGCTCCATCTGCTTTAAGAACCCCACTAGCAATGATTTCTAGATTTTTGTAGTGAACTCAGAAGCCACCAAATGCTGTCCGGTGACTGGCAGCAGAGCTTCCTATAGCTGACCAATACGCGCTCCTAGCAAGGGTCCAAATGACCTGTTCACACCTACCCTGCACACCTCAGTCGAACAGGGTGGCAATTTCTATCTCCTGTATTTTTTTAAAACTATTGAATTATTTCATGCACTCTAGTCTACAGTTTGCTCTGTCACAAAGCTGAAAGCAATATTTATAGGCTCTATATCTATCTGCTGATTTATTGACCTAAAAGATCCCGCTCCAGAGACAGCCACAAAAACACTTGTCTTTAAAAAATGGGCTCTATATTTGGATTTCTAGTTTAGAGTTGCCTTAAAAAGAGAAGTCCAGCCTCCAGCCACTAGTCACCCGGTCTGCAAGGCAGCATGAGTATTTATTCCAAAATCAAATTTAATTTTTAATCCCTAGATCAACTTCTCTAAGTCCCCTTTAGGAAAAAAAAAAACAAAACCCGAAACGAAACAAAACAAAACCAAACCTACAAACCACGTTTATTTGTAGGAAAAGGACCACAATTTGTTTTTTTGGAGAACACAAAGTGCTAAAAACACGTGAAGATCCCTGCTTTCTGCAGAAGAAGACACCACGATTTGGAAATGCCTTTTTTCCATCAAGAGCACTGCTAGCATCAGCTGAGATCCAGGTCTAACATGCACAATCACACATTCAACTGTACCTACAAGAGGCACACCAGCTTGCAGGTTCATTTGAGACACTAGTACTCCCCTAAAAGTCCCTCTTTCATGATTCGCCCATAATTTAGCTTTCTTTTATCCAAAGTCCTAGAAAGGAACCCAACGAAAGGCAACAAATAGGAAAACGGGCCCCAAGGCTGTACTCACCGGTGTGCTGCTGTCGGAAAAGGTGTTCATGCTGATGGACCTGCTCATCTTGTCCGAGGAGAGGGATGGTGGGGACGGACTGCGCTTGTCCAGCTGCTCGTGGTGTGGCAGGTCCTGGCGCTGCAGGTACTCACGCCATGCTCGCTGGATACTGAGGTAAACACCAAGGCACAGGGTTGGGGGGGAATGCAGCAACAAAAAGGATTTAAAATAGATATTCTTGGCTGAAGAGGTGGGTTTTGGCCTTTTTCTCTTTTTTTTTGTGCGCTTTGTTTTCTGATTTGGATAATGATCACTCATAACTACTCTCTGTAGATCTTATATTAGCCACTAGTAGTATAACTTGCGGTATCTGTTAAGTAGAAGCAATTCTTTATTTCAAATCCCTAAACCTACAGAAGTCGTTTAAATTTGAGACTGTACATAACTCAGCAATTCTCTTACATCTTGCAAACAAAATAAAAATATGCATTTATCTGTTTAAAAGAATGAATAGCCTTCAACATGTTATATTTATATCAGCTTTCAGATTATAATGCAGATACAGGTGGAAGTTCAGAGCCAGACCAGTATCCTTTAAAATCTCCTCCATCTTGGGTAGCTGGGGACTTAAAACCTCCTCCAAAGCAACACATGGGGATTGCAGTAGGAGCTCTGCTTTGAAACGCTAAGCTTTGACCAGATTTCTAAAATCTCATGTGAAATTCTGTAAAGAAATTCCATTTTCTGTGCTGGCCGGTGGCCGGGGAGCTGGAGGCCAGGGTGGCTCTCACCAGGTGGCAGTGCCGGACTGCCTGTGCCTTTCTGAAGGTGCTAGGGAGACCAGGGAGAGATGCTGGGAATGAAAACTGTGTTTACAATAGCAACGGCATTAACACAAAGTATGTGGGTGTTCGCACGCAGCATGATCTGTGAACTCCATAGAAAAGCAGAGCTAAATTCTGACCTGAGACTCAGCAGCGTTGCTGCAGTGCAATGGGCGAGGAAGAGCTCCTTTTAGGGTTTTTAAGCAATTGGGATTTTATCCACTGGGATATCAAGCCAGTAAAACCTTCAGTGTGTCTGTTAGTCAGGTAGAGCACCCTGACCTTCGCTTAAGTTGTTCTCAGTGGTGCAAAGTTCTGTGGCAGTTGTGCGGGGAGCGGGTAGGAGCCGGCACCCCTCCACCCTGCCTGGTCCTGAAGGGTTTGGCACACTCAGCACCCAGCCTCGATGCTGGGGTGCTCCCAGGGAGGGGTCCCATGCCCAAAGCCCGCCTGGCCCTGCTCCCACCCACGGTGCCTGCACCCCAGGGCAATGCTCCTTCCTGAAGGAGCCATGTGCTTTTCGGTTCAAACCAAAGGGTCCTAAGCCATCAGCATGGATTTACTTTGTCCTAGGAATACTTTTTTTTTTTTACATTGCCTTTTTAACAGTCAAGATGTCATTTCTGCTCCCATCTCCATAAGTCAGAAAAGCGTTTAGCACCCCGACACCGCTGAAAAGGCGTTCCATTACACACTGGCACTTCCACCTTCTTGACTTCGCAGAAGGAGGACAAAGCTCAACACCAGGACACCTACATCTTCTCAGTGACTGCCTACAGTGCTGGGAACTCCAGACAGTGGGAAATGCCTCCTGGCATGTAATTTTTCCTGGTCAGGGAACAACACTCCCAACACCCATGGCATTTTGAACATCTCAAGGTTGAGGAAATGAAATACATGTACTCTGTTTTTAGAAGAATACCAGATTAGAAATGAAACAGCATCAGACAGCCTCACCAGGATAGGTGCACTTCAGAGGCAGTCAGGTTGGTTAAGGCCTGTGTTGTTTTCATACAACAGCTTTAAAATGGACAGAAAGAGCTACCAAAGCTCCCAAATGTGAGTGCCAACGGAGCAGATTTCAGTAAATGCATTTTGCTTTAAAAATCCCCACATCTTCACACCTCAAGCATTTACACTTTGCATTGTTTCAGTTTCAAACTCCACAGCATAATATGGACAAGTAGTATTTACATATTTATATTTACATGTATTTTCTATTTTAAAGCTTGAGAATATACTGAGGTTAAGTCATAACTACCCTTGTAGAAAGCTCTCTGAAAATGTATTCTTTCATCTGTCTTATAATTGCATGACTAAAAGATGCTGGCTGGATTTTAATTTGAAACTTCATGTCCTTTAAATATTTTAATATAGCATTAATATGTTAACATCCTGTATAGTGAGTTAGCTGTAGCTTTTCAACTGAAAGCGAAATTCGGTACGTAATGTGGCAACACATACAACTCTGTGTAAAGTTGTGCCTGACATCACAAGATTTTGCCATGAAGTAACTGGGGGCTTCGGCATAAAGATGTTCACCTTTTTTTGATGCAACTGGAGCCATGTTAAACTTTCGCTCTCTGCTGGGAAGTCCAGGGGCACCATGTTAGCACAGAGGTCGTGCCTGCTGGATGGAGGTAGTGCCTGCACCAGGGCTGGAGGAACAGCGCTGGAAGAGGCACAAAGAGGAGTCCTCTGCTCTGATAGACATGTGGGTAAATTTTAAGTTATATCCCCAGTATTACCACATGTCCTGAGACAGCACGGTCAAGCCTTTTAGGATAACTGACCCCATGGTAAACTCCACAACATGTGGGAAAGGTATTACGAAGGCTCAAATTACTGCATTTGGAAGCTGGGGAGTTCATTACCAGAACGCAGTGATGCTTATCTCTTCCTTCCAGGTGGTGCAGCTAGGTGTCATGCATGTGCCTTGGCTGAGCACTAGCAACTGCCTCGCTTTCCACTAAAACCCAGCCTGCTTAGTGCCATAGAGCTGTGCTGCACCCCCCAGCCCAGCAACCCTGGTCCCCTCAGACTTCCAGCTCCATCCCCACACAAACCCAAGATTGCTCCTTGCAGAGAAGTCCCGTGAGGTGCCTGGGGAGCTTTAACCGGGCTTCATGTAAGATGTGATAAATACCACTGACGAGACTTCTTGCTCTGGGCTGGACTTCCCTCCCTCTAGAACATTCTCTGTACATACAAAAACTCTAGTAGATTCTCAAATATTCTTTAGTTTCACAGAGGAAATGACAAAATTAGTGCAACGTTGAAGTTTAACATTTGAAATTCAGTTCAAAGAGAATGTTCACATGCTTAAAGGTAGAGAAGAGCTTAGTTAACTTGCTAAATTGAGGCTTTCTTTGTACTTAAAGTTACACAGAAATCCACGATGGATATAGTCCAGGTTCTGCGGTTCAGGAATCAGACAAACTCAGCTGCATTTAAAGGCAGAAACAACATTCTTTGTGACTTACATTTTCACTTTTGATTCCAAGGGCTGTAAGTTGATATGATATTTTTCGATATTATTTTCTTCATCCATGGCAAGCTGGTGGCTATGGAAAAGAAAAGAAAACGGGCTTAATGCATCTCAGCATGACATTTTTGCAATCACTGTGAATTAATTCCGAAATTTTGACAAGAACATACAAGAGCTGCTTATTATAAAGTGTTGCTGTCTTTGGAGGAAGGCATCTGGGTCCCTGTGTCCAGCCCCATTTGATTGTTGACAAAAAGTATGAATTTGGATCCAGTTTCCAGATCGGAGCCTGCCTGAGCCCTTGCACTAAACCTTCCAGATGCCACAGCTCCAGAGACAGGCACACCCAGCAAAGAAGCCTCTGCAAATAAAAAACCCACTGGCAAATATAATAGATATTCTTGCTAAATTAACTTCCATCCCTGGGGCTATGTTTGAAAAGCTGGAGAGTAAAATGGAAAGTAACAATGGTAATGCCGGCAGCAAATGAATTACATCAGCAAAAGCCATACAGGAATATGAAGAAAAAATTCTTTGTAATAAATGATGACCAAGGAATTGGTGCTGCAAACCAATCACTTTGAGAAAGCAATTTTAAAATGCTAGAAGATAAAAATCAAACATCTTGGGACACTGCTTTGGATGGGACTAGCAACATGAATGAAAGGTCTTTGCATGAAAATTTGTAAGATTAGACCCCAACCTGTGGAGTTATTTTTGAGACTTTACTGGACACTTAATTACATCATTCAATCAGCAGCAGTTTTCAGAAATTATCCTCCTGTAACTAAAAATAAGAATCGTTTATGGGAGAGATGCAAAATCTTGAATATTTCGTGTATTACCAAGTGAAAAACATAGTCTATAACAAAGAGACTGTCCCTCAGAAAGGGCTTGTTGCCTTATAAAAGCCATTTCACTTTATCATGTGTGAGATACTGTGGAAATCGCACGTTTACCTTTGAAGCAAGTCTTTGCCATCATTGACCTGTTCCAAGGTGTGTTGGAGCCTTTTGAGTTCTTCCTACAAGGAAAGAAAAAACATTTCAATGTGCTTATGGGAAGCCCTTGGCTGACATTGGAGATTCCCACTCAACCTCAAAACATTGTGAACCAACCACTAAACAAAACAGTCCCTCAGGTAATGTCTACAGGATTGCTTTCAAATTTAGCTATCCAAAGTAACTACAGAGAAACAAATATATTTATCAACACGTCCAGCACAAGTCTGGAAGAAAATATCAGACCTACAAAAATAACAGGCAGAGCAAAAGAGGAAAGTATTTGTTCATGTCTTAGGTGTGTGGCTGCTTTGATTCAAGAGGAGATGGTCTTTGTAAGAGGCAAGTGAGCATGAGCTCCTATTTTCAGGCACTTCTCATTGTTCTGCAATCAAACAGTATTCAGTCGCATAATTAAGAGAGTCACTGGCTGAGATTTACAGCCCAATGCCTTTACCAGGGTATTTGCATCAGATCCTGTTTCAGTAGCAGAGATGTCACAAATTTAACTGCAGCTGCATAGCTGGGGTTCCCTGCATCCATGATAACGTCCTGGGAAAAATCTACCCATGACATTCAGCACAGAGATTCGGCTTAAAAAACTAAATTGTATCTGACTCCATTGTTCAGAAGGGGTGGGAGTTGAGGGGCGGAGGAGAACCTGGTTGCAAAGAAGTGTGTGCTCCAGGGGTTGCAGTTCACAGGGCACAATACCACAGAGCGCCCTGGCATCCCTGGGACAATAACACGCAGAGCACGCGTGCCCAGTCACCTTAAAAGCTGGGCTGACAACCAAACACTGAACCCTCCAGAGCGCATCCCTATGATGCAACGCAAAGAGCATCACCACCCCGAGATGTGGGGATGTGCTTTTAGGTTTGTGTTTATACATCCACTGTTCGATAATTAAGCAACACTGGAAGATGAGAAGTCTATGCAAAACACAAAGATGTTAACACATGACTTCTTTTAGCTCATTAAGTCAGGAATCAAATCTAAAAGCAAAAGCTACTGAGAGTAAGGAAGGAGGGTAATTTACTTCACACCTGCCTTGCATACAGATACAGGATTCCCAGGAAGACTAAGAACATTAAAAAGGCAAAACAAGGATATTTTTGTCTTGTATATCTTATCTGACCTGGGGATGAATCAAAGATTTTTGTTTCCAATAAGACTATTGCAGTCTCCAGGAGCACAACAGATCAGCTGACTCTACCTTCTGCTTTCCCAATTAAAGCTAATTTTGTGAAACAGAAATTTTACGTGGCACTTTTTAATCCTGTACAAGACTGTACCCTGTTCGACATGAAACAAGATCACAGTTGGTAGCTGATTTACTCCTAATACAGCTTTCATTTCCTCCCAGCCTTGGAAGGACTATTACTGTGAAATATATTTTATGCATAAATGAGATTTGTCAAGATGACAAGTTAGATGTTTCCCCAGTCTTTGTCCCTCTGGGTCTCTAATTGTAACACCATTTTGTGGACACACTGCAGCTGATAATGGACTGCGCGTGATTCAGGAGGCCTGGCTGCTGCCTACCGCTCATCAGCCATTGGAAGAGATCCAGATGTGAAACTTCTTTTTATTTTTGCCTTCCTGGTTTTTTGGGGTTTTTTTTTTCGGGGGGGGGGTGGGGGGGTGGGGGTGTCCTGATCTGGGGAACAGCCTCTTCTGACATATTAAAAACAAGCAACTTTCAAAATTGTTTTCTTCGAAGCACAGTTCAGTTCAGAAGATAACCTTTTCTTCTCCCATATTATTCCGCTGGTCATTTTTTCAGTGTACCCCAGAGCTATGTACAGTAATTTAGAATGAGAAAACAATTTGCAATTGACTTTATATATAGCTCTGGGTGACAAAACCTGCATGACTTACATAAATCATTTCTTGTGTTTGACATCATTTTCTATTAACCTCAGGGTGAAGACTGAACAAAAAAAAAGTAAAAGCCAAAATTGGTTGTGACATTTTTGACTATTCAATCTTTCAATTAAACATCACTGGACGGTCTTTATAAAAGCCGTAATATAAGGCAACTACAGAAGGGGCATAGCAATGTTTGCATAATTGGGAAGAGAAGGAGACATAAAATCTATACTAATTTCAGTTTTGCGTCATTAACCATGAAGTATTGATTATTGCTCCTTGCAACAAAATTTATGAAGCCAGCTATGCTGCTGCGCCCACAGAAAGCGATTGGGATGCTTTGCCCTCAGCCCCTGGCGTGGTATCTGATGGGTGGCAGCGACAGCCGGGATGCTGCTCTCTCAACCCACAGCCTTAGGAGATGCATCTCCCACATTACACCAGGAGTGACCCAGCTGCAAACTCGAACTTCAGAAAATTAAATTGGAAGAGATCCATACTTCTGCTGGAATGCATGATGAATTATGATGCCCCTATAAACCTGGTTATAATGTAAACATATTGTAAAATTTACTGCAGTTTTTGTTTTCCTACTTCAGTTGAATACAGATGTTAACAGCTATTGGGCAGCTACAGACACATAGAGATACCTAAGGAAGAAAAAGCAATAAAAGCTTGAAGTGCAAGACCAGTGTTAAGAGCAAACTAGAATGTTGCCTTCTAGTCTTTAATGTGTATATTCTGCTTATGCATTAATTATTTTCCAGTCTTCCTGTACTTTTAGGAAACTAGGCTATTGCAATGACTTAATTATGGCCAGGAAAGCCTGTAACCTTATGGGGCAGAAAAGACCAAGGGGCTCTATAGAGTCTACAGACTCTTGCTGGGGAGAAGCCTGCATAAAAAAGCCATCTTAAGCTGCACTGAGCTAGTTCCCAGCACAGTCCACACATTATAAAAGCCCAGCTTGGCTTTGCTGTCAGCATTTAGTTAGAGCAAAAAGGTTCTGAGTCCCTCTGCCTTTTTCCCTGCAAATCAGCTGTGTTTGGCTCCACGCAGCCCAAGGCAGCCCAGGCTCTGCGTGTGCATGTCCAGTGCAATGATTTAGCAACCTCACCCAGCTGCCTTCAGCAGTTTTCAGGGTCTTTTTTTAATGGAGGAACCCAGAGGTTGCCATAGACTTTGGTTCTCATTTGGGCTTGCACTGAAATGTCACCTCTTATTTGACCGGCAGTAGAGATGATGGCAGCCAGCAGATAAGGGGTCATCAAGGCAGGCTTAGACGCAGAGGAGCAGAAATCTAAAACAACCTAAATGCACTAGTCCTTAAATTCCTTTCAAATAAATCTGTTTTAAAAAAAACAGTTATTAGTGCAAATTGTAAAGAAAGAAATCTGCAGATGTTAAATCATACCTAGGTGAATATTTACCTCCACTAGCAGGCAATGATTCTTTTTTTGTTGCTATACCCAAAAGTATCCATTCAGGTCAGTGGAGCTATTTATACCCGTGGGTTTAGACTAGCACAGAAAAACCAGGGCAGAGGCCACATATTAAAAATTAATTTTCAAAATCCTTTTTGGACATGCATGCCGTTGTTTGAGTATCTCTGCCTAAGAATTCTGTCACTTACTGCCAAAGGAATATACAACAGTGCTTCCTGAGAGGTCAGAGAGATGGAGATTGGAAGAGAAAGCTTCGATTCCAGTAGAACCACAGCCTAAAAATAGCAATAAAAAAGGGGCAGAGGGGTCAATTTTATAATTAAGAGTGAGTATAGCAGTTACTCAAACATGTCAGCTTTGGGTAGTTGTCTGTTTCATTGATGTTATTCCAAATCTTATTCAAAATTTTGTTGAATGGTGATTTTCTACGATGCAGGAAAACTCCCACTTACGTGCATTTCTTCCTCTCCTTGCTTGCAAGTCACTTGATGAAACACCACAGTGCCAGTTTGAGATCCTCCTGACACAGAAAGCCCACGGTGACCGCAGCAACCCTACACCGGAGCGGCACGGTTGCTTTCCTGCTGGCGCAGGACGTGCCCATTGTGTTGGGCTACAGGGTGCTGGTGAGCACAGGGAGGGTGCTGGAGAGGGGCTGGAGCATCAGCGCTGCCTGACAGCACCTGGGTGAGATGTGGCAGAGCAGAGCACAGCCCAACTGCTGCCTTGAAGGCAAACTACGTCTCACCAGCCTGCCGGTGCTGTGCAGGGAGGGAGTCAGTGCTGAGAGCTTTAATTTGGAAATGCCAATAAAGATCACTGGAGCTTTCACAGCCGCTCTTGCCAGCGAACACGTTAGTCTGTCGTATCGTTCCACAGCTGCTGTATTTAAAGACAAATGTATGAGTTCTTCTTCATAGCACTGACATCAGCATGTGCAAAACCGATCGTTCCTTTTCCAGCACAGCCTCTGAAGCAATGGCACAGCGAGGGCAAGCACAGCTGACGGCAGGCTGAAGCCAGAAATGCTGCAATGCCTGCTGTCATTAAGACCAGAAGCCGTGCAGGATCCATCCTCTGATCAAAGCCACCTGATGCCTCTTTCTATCACCTATTAGGAAGCCAATTTATAGGCTTTAACATCCTCACCTCCTGCCATTTTCCAATCTTGTGGTCATCACAGGCAGATACAAGATAATGAAGCTCTCTCTGCTGCTGTTCCCCTTTCCCAGTCCGTCGCGCCGGTCTGGAGACAGCACATGCGGTGCTAAACCACCTTTAGCACCAGCTCCGAGCCATGTGCCATTTGTATTCCAGCACAGAAGCAGCAGCCTCGGCTGCTTTTCAAACACCCCAGCTGCTTTTGGTTACTGAAAACAGTCCATTGCCAATGCTGTTCTGAGCTGCTTACACCCATGTCTGCTGCTACCCCTATTTTTAAGACTTTGTTTCCCATTTAACAAAGAATTTGCCCCCACACTCTTTTTGTGTCCATGAAGCATCTTGGGTTTTATTCATTTTATACTTTATATTTTTTCTTTTTTTCATTTTATTCATTTTCATTTATATTTTGGCCTCTTTTCCCAGGGAAGACTGTGGCCCCTGTATTAAATGATGTAGAGTCTGTGTTTCAGTCTGACAAGGCCTGTCAAGCAGTGTGTTAATTAAGCCTCTTAGCAGGATACAATGAGTCTAAAGAGGATAGA